CTATCCATTTAGGGGACCATTATTGAACCATATCACTGTACCCAGTTAGACCTTTTCCACCTTTTTGGCAACTGTTGCTATAAACATAACAGGGGAAATTTTACTTTCTACATAGACTTATTTTACCATACCATAGACTATATATAGACTTAATTTACCATTATTAATTCTTAATTCTGCTTCCTGGTACCACTATATCCATAGGTGAGGATTATACCACCTTTGCTGTTTATACTAGAGCAAGTTCTGCTCCAGGAACTGTAAGTACATTTATTTATTCATATCTGGTTGTTTAGAACTTACTTCACCATTGACATTTTTCATTTTACATCCACATGTACCCTGTATACTACATCCCATTTGGAGTACTGATATTGTTTGGATCAATTTACATCCTGAGATGGGGATTATACCGTCCATGCAGAATAACAGCAGAACTCTGAGTTAGCTCTGACGAATGTGAGTGTATTCTACACAAGCACTTAATACGTTATTTGTTTATATAACTGTGCTGCACTAGCTTTGTTTTATCTGTTTCTTTGCGGTCAATTGTGTTGTCAACACTCAAAAGACCAGTGATCATATAAGATCCAGACTTATGTATGTATAATAGTTATACAAATTAGATTGGGAGCGATATATATATATATATATATATATATATATATATATATATATATATTATCTTCACTTATCACTTCACCAGGTCTGGGAATCCTGATATACTGCTGCTTGCATGACTCTGTAGTTCTTTTTTTGATATATCTACCATATATCCCCATTTCTTGAAACTTTACATTTACATTCAAGTTATTTGATAACAGAAAGGCTGCTTTCTTTTTTGCTTTATGTGAAGCAGTTATGATAGATGGTTAATTAGCAGACTTAAATAAAATATTATTGCCTAATCTCCAATGGGTCTCCTGAATGACATATATATGAATGTTTTGTTTTCTGAGCAATTGCATGTTTAATGAAGCTAGTTTAACTATAATCTTTGACAAAACAATAGCATTTTACATCTGTCCTGAGTACCATAAATACAAAAAACATAGAACAAAAAAGAGTGGCATGTTGGGATAACTCCTGCCTGCAAGATTCCTTGTCTTATCTGCGCCCTTAAAGGAACACTATAGGCAATCAGACAACCAGCTCATTGAAATGGTCTGGGTGAAGTGCGCCTGTCCACTTAACCCTGCAATTGTAATTGTTATTGAGAAACAGCAATAATTATCTTGCAGGGTTAACATGGAGGCCCTTCCGGGTCCTTTTGGTCCGCTAAATGAAGCTGGACTTCCTCACGCTTTGCATGAGGACATTCAGCATTAGCTAAAACCCTAAAGGAAAGCCTTGCTTCAAGTCCTAAAGCTATCGAAGTGATTGCCGAGCATGCGCATTAGGTCCTCCCCATTGGTGGAGAAGGAGCTGAGGCAGTGGAGGCAAAGCCTGACGCAGTGCTCAGAAATCAAAACTGGAATCATGTAAGTTGTCACGGCAAGGGTGTAGTGTGCGTTCGTGACATAAGTAATAAAAGTTTTTTTACCCCTTTCAGCGCTGCAGGGAGCGCAAGGAGAGGGGGACATTATAGGGCACTATAGTGCTAGGAATACAACTTTATATTCCTAGCACTATAGTTTCCCTTTAAAGACAAGGACACTGTAGGCACCCAGACCACTTCTTTAGAATTAACTGGTTTGGATGCCATGAACTTTCTCGTTTAAACCTTGCAATGTAAAACATTGACCTTCTACAGGAACTGTCATGTTTATATTGCAGAATTTCAATGCCCCTAGTGACTGTCAATTGGGCAACATAATGTTGCAGCAAAATGCTATCCTCCCTGTTCGCAGATGAGAGATTCCAAGGCTTCTATTCCCACCTATATCTGGCTTCAAAACGGACAGACTGTTGGAGGCCTATATTGTGCCTATAGTTACCCTTTAATAATATTGTAAAATGCTGTTGAATAATTTGGCACTATATAAATGCCATCTTTAATAATGAATACTGCTGACAAGTTTACCATCTGTATCAGTCACTTTTCTCAAACACTATTCTATTTAAATAATAGTAGCATCTTGTATGCTTTAGTAATTTTGCTTTAATATGCAAGTATAGCTCTCAGTTGTCTGCCAACAACAGAACAACCTTCTGTTCGCACTTCCATCTCTGATGCACATTTGCGTGATTATTCTAGGCAACCCAATTTTTATAAAATGCACTGTTTGTTCTAAATAACATTTTCCTGGATTCCAGTCTTTAAAAAAAAAAAAGAAGCCTAGTGATGCCAAATAACTCTAGATTAGTGTTGTCGCAGACTTAAAGGGATACCATAAGCACCCAGACTACTTCATTCCAATGTCCTTCTCAGTTTTTGAGAAATTGCCAAATTTACATTGTAGGGTTTAGTCCTTCTTTAGTGCCTCTAAGTATGACATCCAGTAGAGGTGCTACCACTTCACTGACAGAGTAAAACGCGGTCACATGCCCCAGAAGCCCATAGGAAAGCATTGATTTCTACGAGGATTATTAAATTGGACCACACTGGAGGAGGCCATGCATTCTCAATGACACTGCAGGATTAGGAGAGCTAAACAGTGTCGAGGTAGCCCAAGGGCTGGAAAACGGTGATTAAAGCTTTTTCAAGTTTGTATGCCAAACAATGGGGCTGGGGAGGACATAGGGACACAATAGCTTTAGGAATACCGGTTTGTTTTACTAATGCCGTACTGTTCTTTTAAGAAACATTCCTAAAAAAATTGATTCCTAAACACCAAATGTTGAAAAGTATTTCAACATACATAGCCCTCTCAATCCTTCTCCCCAGCAGTGTGCACTCCTGCATTACCTATCCTCCCACTGTGTGCTCTAATCTTTTTCTTACTTTCCACCACTTATCATTACTATTTCATTTTGTATATAGTTAGATAAAAAAACATGAAATGCCAATGTTAACATTCACTACTCTGTACTGTAGGTTTGTTTGTTTTTTGTGCTCAACACTGTTTACTCTGCAACAATTGCTATTCCTTTGCCACTGATATTATAAAGAATGTACAGAGTTTTCATGTTAGTTGTTCCTCGAATGGAATCTTGTTACAAACAACTGGTCTGCTTTAAAATCATGCTAGCTGTGTGTTATAGTACCCCTTTTAATAAACTGTTCACTCCCCTTTAATAGAATATTGACACATACCTGCTCAAATGCACCTCCTTAGGAGCGATAGTGCCTATTTTGGGATTAATTTTTGCAACTGCTGTCATCAGATTATACATAATTTGTGATTAAACTGCTTGAGTTAAAGTCACACTAAGTATGACTTAATTGCATATTAGTCATTGAAAATCATTTAAAGGGTTATTTTTAACTTCCAGCAGTTAAGCAAGTGTTAGATTTGCCTGGGACTTTGCATGGCAAAAATTCCAGCTTGTCATAAAACAAATAAACACAGATATATATCTATCTATCCCCCCTTTTTTTGTCAACGTGTCACTAAAGTGAGACTTGTCAAGATTTCAAGGTAGATTTAAAGATAATATCAAATAAAAGGCAAAAAATAGCCAAATTGAAAACATAACTGACTTGGGTAACTTTTCTAGTTTGGATATGGCCTACATTTTTAAATCAAGTTTGAATTCCTAGCAATCCACAATTTAGTGAATAACCCTGTTAATGTAAACTTTTTTTGGAAGATAGAGGCAATAACAATGTAAAAGAAACAGAACCCAGCACCAGAACCTTTTTGTCTCAGTGACAGGTCCTCTACAATCCAGTAATAGTTTAATGTTATATTGTTGGTATTGGTTTAAAAAGGGGGGTAAAATTGCAAAAAATAAATAAATAAAAGGATTAAGACATTAAAACTGGTATCTAAATAAAAAATATCTAATTAAGCTTAAAATGTAAGAGCTGCTTAAGGATAAACAAATGGGGTTGATGCAATGCATTTTGCTGTGTTTATGCAGCTTCATAGAAACATAGAATGTGACGGCAGATAAGAACCTTTCGGCCCATCTAGTCTGCCCAATTCTCTAAATACTTTCATTAGTCCCTGGCCTTATCTTATAGTTAGGATAGCCTTATGCCTACCCCACGCATGCTTAAACTCCTTTACTGTGTTAACCTCTACCACTTCAGCTGCAACGCTATTCCATGCATCCACTACCATCTGAGTAAAGTAATACTTCCGGATATTATTTTTAAACGTTTGCCCCTCTAATTTAAGACTATGTCCTCTTGTTGTGGTAGTTTTTCTTCTTTTAAATATAGTCTCCTCCTTTGTTGATTCCATTTATATATTTAAATGTTTCTAACATATCCCCCCTGTCTCGTCTTTCCTCCAAGCTATCTTTCATTTGATGGCATTTTGTTTTGTTTTGTATATTTGTATATTCACCTTTTTGTTTTTTTTAAATAAATATTTAATCTGACGCTTTCTACTTTGAGTTTCCAATTTTATTGCAAGACAGGAGGAAACACAAAGCTGCATTATTAAGAGCCAGTCTTAAAGGACCACTATAGTGCCAGGAAAACATACTCGTTTTCCTGGCACTATAGTGCCATGAGGGTGCCCCCACCCTCAGGGACCCCCTCCCGCCCGGCTCTGGAAAGGGGAAAGGGGTTAAAACTTACCTTTTTCCAGCGCTGGGCGGAGAGCTCTCCTCCCTCTCCGCCTCCTCCTCCTCCTCCTGGGCTGAATGCGCACGCGCGGCAAGAGCTGCGCGCGCATTCAGCCCGTCGCATAGGAAAGCATTTACAATGCTTTCCTATGGACGCTGCGTGCTCTCACTGTGAAAATCACAGTGAGAAGCACGCAAGCGCCTCTAGTGGCTGTCAATGAGACAGCCACTAGAGGATTAGGGGAAGGCTTAACCCATTCATAATTATAGCAGTTTCTCTGAAACTGCTATAATTATGAAAAAATGGGTTAACCCTAGAAGGACCTGGCACCCAGACCACTTCATTAAGCTGAAGTGGTCTGGGTGCCTAGAGTGGTCCTTTAAGAGGTTCTCCCTTATGTGAGTGCAATTCTGTATTTTATTGTGTGCAATTGCATGTTATATAACAGATTACACTATTCAGATTTTTTAGGTGCATTTAATTTAAGGATTATTCCCATAATAATGTGTTCCAGGTAATCAATAGATATGTTGCAACCTTAACCCCTTAAGGACACATGATTCCCTTTTATTCCAGAAGTTTGGTCCTTAAGGGGTTAAATAAACCAGACACCCTGTTCTCAGAGACAGATTTATTTGGGTTTAAATATTGTGACGGTATATTGTTATATAACTTTTGCCTGATAATACACAATACAACACTGTTATCTATTATTTTTTCAAATTTTTGTGGGTATTACGAATAATTGAACCAAATGTTTGGCGGTATAAATATTGTATTTTGCGGTACACACATGGATCACTTTTATTTTATACTTTTCTGATTTTGAATTGTTTTACACAATTTATAGGGAGTATTTTGGAAGGATATATAAACGGATGATATAGGACTTGCACTCAATTCTTTACACTTTTTATTGTAACATTTTTCTCACTAAATTTTTGTTTACATTCTACTTTTATCTGACCAATTGCTGCTGAACCTAACTTGCCGGCTGCTGCAGGTTTTCACAGACCAATCACTTCAATCACCGCAATCACATGCACTACAAAGCAGCAGCAGCAGGCAGCCCTAAGTGAAGGTATAAGAGACTTGGAACATTTAATGTAAGTTTTAAATGCTGATGGTGGGCTGCAGGGCAGTGAGAATGTTGTGGAAATATAATATTTTAAAGTGTACAATGGTGTATAGGTAACTTAATAAAAATAAACAGACTTTGCCTGAATCTGAGGAATTAGATATCTTGCTTCCTGTTTGTCAGCTTTGCCTTGGTGCAACAGGGACTTGGTCTCAGATTCCTTTGTGTACTTAAAGGGAGATGCACAGAGAACACAAAGCACACAAAAACCCCACAGCAAATGTTTATCCAGACTCCTATGCAGTTATTTAAAGGTCTCTTTCACTTCTCAGCTTTTTAAAAAGATATAGAGGGTTATTCATTTAACACAGAATGTTGTCCAGATGTACAAAGTCCGTTGAAACTTTGCAACAATTTGCAACAAACGGATACATTCAAGGGACACTATAGTCACCAGAACAACTACAGCTTATTGAATTTGTTCTGGTGATTAGAATCATTCCCTTCAGGCTTTTTGCTGTAAACACTGTCTTTACAGAGAAAATGCAGTGTTTACATTACAGCCTAGTGATAACTTCACTGGCCACTCCTTAGATGGCTGTTAGAGATCCTTCCTGGGTCATGGCTGCCTAAAATGCAAACAGTCAGTGTCTCCTCCCTCTGCATGCAGACACTGAACTTTCCTCATAGAGATTCATTGATTCAATTCATCTCTATGAGGAGATGCTGATTGGCCCAGGCTGTGTTTGAATCATGCTGGCTCTGCCCCTGATCTGCCTCTTTGTCAGTCTCAGCCAATCTTATGGGGAAGCATTGTAATTGGATCAGGCTACCTCTTCTGATGATGTCAGCAGACTGTTTGTTTTTCTGAGTCTAACAGCATGCAGAGTTACAGCTTCAGGCTTGAATACAGTAAGATTTTGCTATATTTATGGAGGCATGAGGGGCCCAGGTTTGTGTTCCTGACCCTATAGTGATCCTTTCAGTGTCTGGATTTAAATCAGTGCTATCATTTCCAAACCTTTTAGAAAGTATATGACTTGCAAAATTCACAAAACACACATTTATCAAAATTCTTGACCGAATACATCTGGGCGGAAGCGCATGCACAAATTAGGATTAATTTACTTCTTGCAAGTGAATGATAATTTCAAGTGCTATTTGCTTGCTTCCAGTAATTTTAATCTGGCCTTTTTAGAGGCAGAAGAAAATAAGCATTAAAAGAAAGAAGACTTTGTTAGTACAATTTTGTTTATTTTACTCATATTAGTTTTCTTAGAATGAGAGGGGGTAAGTTGGGCTAATTTAAGATGGGGTGGCTAGTTGCTTGGGGACAATGCCATTAATTGTAGGGGATGGACAATGGCATCTTCACCCCTCTCGTATTATTATTTAGAGTCCCCACCTGCCACCCATGGGTGATGGCTGGAGTAGGGAACAGTTTCTCTGAAACTGAATTTTTTTTTTTTTACCTTGCAGGGTTAAGGGGACAGTAGAATTTCACCCAAACCACTCCATTCAATGAAATCAAGTGGTCTAGGTGCCTATATTGTCCATTTAAGACAAAGTAAGGACTGCTTTGTCTTATAGGCAAGCCTGAAGTTGACAAAAGTTTTCAAACCTTTTGCCCAATCCTAGCAGCCTTCACAAGTGACAGCTCATCATGAAATGTGATCTATGGAGCGTCTCACAGAATCCTCTGTAGATCTCAGTGTTGTACTCTCACACATATACACGAGAGTACAGCACTGGCAAATGAAATGCCAGGAGCTGACACGGGTCCCCAGGGTGAATATGGTGGCGGTAATAGTACATAAACCTACCATTAACTAAAATTATGGTGCTCTCACCATAATTTTGCCAGTAAATACCTTATAATTATACTAGTGATTTTTACCTTTGCTTCTATGTTTCTGATGTACATGTATCATAGAGTTCAGCCAGCCTTTAGAACATGGGTTAGCTATCATTGTGATAAACCCTCATGATTTACCATTATTTATCATTAACTACTATGCAGATTCCTGCTAATATAGCAGAGCTACCTTACCCACAAGGTGACATAGGTGGTTCCTAGGGCCCAGGCTCTGGCTCTGTCTGTGAGGGGGCCCATCCAATCAGATACATCACCCCCCCCCCCCATATAAGCAACATTCAGAAATTTGAAAATTGATTTGATGCAAAGAAATTATATTAAAACATATTTTAAAATTAGATTTACCCAGTTTGTAAACCAACAACCTTAACAATTATCCCCTTGAATGATTTGAATGCATTTGAAATAAAAATGGCCATATTATTATTATTATTATTATTATTATTATAGTAATAATGTTGTTAGATTGGTTCTTGGATGGCTAAAATCAAGCAATAAAGCATCTTAAATTTTCCTATGGTTTTTATATTTCCATTCTAAAATGCAGATTTGTTCCTGACATTTTTTTCTTGTAATCCTCATCAAAAATTTCATTCTGGGAAACGGTGAAATGATTCTTCCAGTCACCAGCTATGCCTGTATAAATAAAAGCAGATATACATTGTATTATATTTATTTCATTTTATTTTTTCTTTACTGAATAAACATTTTATTTACTGTAGAATTCAGGGGTTTCTAACCCAGTCCTCAAGTACGTCCTACCAGTCCAGGATTTAGGGATTACCCTGTTGTGTGTTTTTTTTTTTTTTTTCTTTTTCTAAAAGCAGCTGGGTAATCCCTAAATCCTGGACTGGTAGTGGGTACTTGAGGACTGGGTTGGAAACCACTGCTGTAGATGAACTTGGAGAGGGGTTAATGGGCTACGAAGACACCCACAGACCTGAATGAGATGCTCTGGATTGGAGCATCTTTAGTAATTATTTCAAGTAAATTTTTGCATTTTAAGACATTATCCACTTCAGATTGTAAAGGTGTTTGGGCAGGGTCATCTTCACCTACTGTTTTCATAAGTCATATATGTTTTGCTAGAATGAAATGTTTGCCTTGTTTGTTTATATATATATATATATAAATAATGATAAAAAATAATTACCCTTTCTCATGAAGGAAGTTGTAGACTGGTCCATAAGTTCGTTGGGGATGGTTTTGTAATTTACCATGTCATTATTTTTCATTTCCTGAAAGGATGTGTGATGAACAATCTTATCTATAACCTCTTCACGCATCTCCTTTTCTAGAAAGTGTAATATTTTCCGAATTTCTCTTTTTGGGTCCTGTAAAGGAATAGAATATATCACTTAAATGCTGCCCTTTTTTGCAACTGAAAAATAAGTTAATCATCATTCCAGCTGCTTTTATTTCAGCACTGATGTTAAATATGGATGCTACATAAGCCAAATCAATTGTGGTCTATTGTCTTCCTGGTTCTAAGTAGCCTGTAAACATGTTCGTCATTCTGTTAGTGTTTTCCTCTTTTGTTGTTTGTTTTGTTTTTTTTGCTTGTATGACTGCATTGCCTCTGCTTGTTTGTCCACTTTGGCCTACTTCTGCTTTTTTTTCCATTGACTTTGTTAACCCATAAGTGGGTGCTCTGTCTTTCTGTCTCATAAGAGTTTGTTTGTCAAGTCTGGATCCCCATAGCACATAAGGCCCCATTTTTGGCTGAATATCATTAGCGTGGAATCAACTTCTTTACACAACATAGACATAAACAAATCCGCTTTTAATGAAAAATAAATAAATGTAAAAATAATGTTAAGCATAAGAAGGAACAGAGACTTGATACATGTTCCCCTATCCAAGAGCTTCTCCTCATATGCTGGTAATAATCAGCTAAAACGGGGCTGCTTGTTCCACATGGCATCTGGACTTTAAAGAGTGTAGTATTTACTAAATAGTGTTTTTGAGGAGAAGTACACAGTCCATGCTACAAGCACATTTAAGATATGAATATGTTACGCTGCTAAATGTACTGTTTACCTTTTAATTGATTAACTATTCTAGGGGCCAATCCATACCTTTTACTGCCATTTCCATCCTCACCAGGGCTTGACTCATATCCTTACATTCACACAAAATGTAACTATGTTTTTTTCCCTCCATCTTTACTACTTAAAGGACCACTCCAGCCTGATAACTTAATCTCAATTAAGTAATTATGAGACCTTAAGTTCCCAGGCTCCGTCATACCAATTCTGAATGGTTTAAATCCAAAGTTCTGTCCCTGGGCACCCATTAGGCCACCTCCTCTCTCTCCAATAGGTAGCTCAGCTAATAGGGAAACAATAGCTTTTAAGGTCAGTAATAGGCATAAAATATCAGCTCTAGACCATGGGAGAGCAGGGCAAGGGAGAGTTTCAGAGGTCTGAATTGGACACAGAGGCCCGAAAGCTTATTCCAATTTGGCTACCATGGATAATGCCTTGTTAATGTAAGTATGTAAGAACCCACCAAAATTGCTGTATATGAATCTCTATGTCATTCATCTATTTTTGGGCAGTGTTTATAGAGTTATAATATGCATTATGTGTTTGTGTTCTTGTTCTCATGTGTATTGTGTTTATCTCCAATTAACTCCAATTAACATATGCAAGTTTAGGATAGTGCTTTCTTCTAAAGAGGGAATTTCTCCACGCAAGGTGTTTTCTTATTTGATACCTCTTTCATATCTTCATAGAATAGATAAAGGATTCGATAGTCGTTTCTCTTTTCCCACCAACCTATCACGTGATCGTACCAGGAACCATAGCCCACTGAAAGAAAAATCGGGAGAATGTTGGTATGGTCAGTGCTTAGGAAATCTTGTTTTTCCGCAGTCACATATTTATTTCTTACCATCCCCCTTTATGTAGTCATCTAAGAATTTATCCCATGGACCTGGATCAGGCAAAGCTTTAACCATCTTGTGGAAGAAGAAGTATGAAACGGCTACATCCTTGGCATTTCGAGCAACATAAATAACCTTTTGAGGAAGTAAAATGAATCAGAATAGAGAAAGGATATTAAAAAAAATTGTAAAGTGCCATTGTGTTTTAAATAAACAATGTGACAAAGTAAAAAAAACAAACCAGAAATATTAAAAAGTGGTGCTGAAGTAATACTTGCTTTATGTATATTTGATATAAAATGGTCCACATCCTGTAACTGTCTCTGTTTGCAACAAGTTATAGGCAGTAGTGTGGCTGAAAATTATAGTTGCAAGAGAGAGGCACAGGTGGAGTTTTAAAGGGCATATAGTTTGGCAGTTTTGTAAAACAATGTTTCCAGTACCGTGCAAAAAAAACCAAAACCATATGCACACATAAAGGGATTCTATAGGCACTAAAACAACTTTAGCTTAATAAAGCATGCCCCTGAAGTCTCACGCATAATCAACACTCCAAAACTGCTTCACTAAGCTAAAGGTGTTTTGATGCCGATAGTGTCCGTTTAATTAAATTTAAGAACAACATCAGGAAATTTGGTTATAAAGGAATATTTGTGCATATAAGAAATAGTTTAGTAGTTACAGTCTCAGGCCTCCAACAGTCAAAGTTTTGTCCATAGGAAAAGAATTGGAAATTGACGAGCTCCTGGACTGTTGGTATGCAGGGCTCCCATCAAAACACTCGGGGGCCACTTACAAATCTAGGGACTGGGCCCCCACCCACCCACCCATACACACATACTCACACACATGCACCCTGACACATAGATGATACTCATACATATACATTAGAGACATACAGATACCACTTATACATACATGCATTCCAGACACACCCAAAGATACACACACATACCCAGATACAAGCTCTGACTTACTAATAACAAGTTATACATTCAGACACACCAACTATATCTGGAAAAGTGGAACATTAGGATATAAAAGAAGGACAGAAAGATTTGGGCTCAAAATAGGGACCGAGTAGGAACACATGAGAGTATGCACATATTGACAAACATTTACACACACACCTCCTGCCAGACACACACACACTGACAAAGATACACACATACACACTGATAGAAACACACACAAATTTCAAATGTTTTAGCTACCCACTTCTTTGCCTACAAGGTTCCTTGTAGTCCATTGGAGACCTGGCTCTGAGCTATGCAGAGAGGGGTGTGCTGGTCTGTTCCTCACCAGTGCTGAATTCTTTGAGCACTGGAAGGAAGTGAATGGATATCACTTCCTCCCAATGCGCCCATGCTCAGAATGAATGGTTAGAGGCTGTACTTGAAAGGGGCTCGTGTTGTCATAGACCTGCAGTACGATTCCCAACCAGACAACATAGTGTTACAGAGTCCTTAGGGGCCACAGATCACAGCCTGGCTTGCATGCCTCTGATGGCAGCCCCGTTGCTATGTTTTCAGGTTAGAATTAGGAAGTACCGGAATAGTCTTCTAGTGGGGTGTTTAAAAATATGTCAGGACAGGAATTTAGCTTTCATAAAGGACATAAAAGCAAGAAAACTACATGCTTTTAGAAACATCCAGAGTAAACTCTGATTGGCTCTTAAATGTTACTAAAATGTGTGTTTCTATCCAATTTATAGAAAGTAATTCAATGTTCACACAATAGGTAATATAAAATATAAGGCCTTGAAGAATGCTCAGATACCTTGCAGTTTTTCCCCCAAAATGAGTCTGGCATCAGCTTAATGGGGAGATGTGTTTTTACTAGCCTTGGAGAAGGTGTAGCCTCAAGTTGTTCTACACCTAATGAGAAGAAAAACAAAACACCTTAAATACACGGTAAAAAAAACCAGCATGCCAATGAAATCACTGTTTAGTAGTTGTAACGGCACCCCCAGGCATAAAAGGAGTTAAACCGCCGTTTAGAAGATCTTCCCCTTCCAGAGACACAGGCACAGCTACAGCAGAACCCCAAACTCCCGAACAGGATACAAAGTAGCACTCCAAACTCCTGAACTGGAACCTCACGAATAGCTGCTAGCAGCTGAACAGGAAAAGCACCCAAGCGGCTTACACTTCTGGCAATCAGTCTCTAACAGCATACAATAAACCCCCCCCCAAGATCGAGACAAAGCTCTGTGTTGAGAGTCAAGCAGTGAACAGCTAGAGCTGTGGGTTTATTGTTCTTGTATACACATTCTTACACATTAGTACCACCCACAGGGTTTTGTAAAACAACCAATAAACGTAGAATACACTCAGACACTCCCACACAAAATCCTCCCCTCTGCCTGTGATACAATTACCTTACACAATTAATTAATGTAATTATCACAGGCAGAGAAATACAGTTTTTCCACATTATTCATAACTTTAAAAGTATACATCACATTCATATAAATTCACTTACATTCTCAGAATCAGCATACTCAAAATACAAACATATGTCAAAATCATCCAAATTGGTCCATTGGTTCAAAAGATAGACCAAATTAAGCATGGCTTTTCTGCTCAAAACCAGTTCCACAGAGTCTTCTATCCTGGAGATAATTGGGAAGTAATCCAATTATCTCCAAGGACAGAGGCAAAACTCCATTGAACACATGGTAGCAAAAGACAATAAAATACATAAAAATACACAAGGTTACATTTATTACATAAAATACAGACATGCAACATATCCCCAGATAGCTTAGGTCTGAGCGCACCTTATTACTGAATGGCGCTCAGACCACACACATATAGTTCAATTGCCATGGAGCCAAACTCTTTTATTGCACGAATAGGCTCCATGGAATAGATTTCTGCATAGGAAAATAAAGTATTTAAATGCCGGTCCATAGTCAAAAGGCAGCAGGCAGGCAACCAGGCTCCTCCAATGCACAGTGGCAAGATTGGTCTAGTCACAGTAGTCCTGTCCAAACCAAGTGTACCATTCAAGTACTCACTGTTCTGGTGTTGCAAAGGGCGAGGTCAGTCCCAGGTAATAATACAAAGTAAACGTTTTTTTTTTCTTTTCCGTCAATACAGCTACATAACAGTATGGATCTTACATAATAAATGTCATAAGCTGAACTGACATACAAGAAACCACCTCATTATTGTTATAGAAAAGAATTAGGGTGGTGGCTTGATCGCCAAGAGAAATAGCCGCATAAAAAGCACTGTAATAAGCTTCTTCCCCGACATCACCTGCAGCAACCTGCCGGGAATGCTGACAGAACAGCTCCGGAACATGACCAGCCGCAAAGCAACCAAAAAACATAAGGGTAACGCACCTATGGCAGACATGCAGAAAACACAGAGGCCCTCACCCCTCACCTTCCAAGATGTCGCCAGCCCGGCCCACTCTGTCTCCCCGACCTCCCCGGGCTCACCAGACTCAGCTTGCCACTCACACCCAGACTCATCAGGGGCCATACTCTGCTCCTTAGCTGAGGTAAAAAGCTTCCTGGCAGCGGAGATTGAGGACACCACAACAAATATGTGCACAATGTGGAAAATAGTCAATCTGAAGCTCTATACACCTCAAAGTGGTGTCCCCTCTACCACTTTAAAATCAACAGTATACATACAAAAACAAGATGGAGCTTCTTAAAATGGCAATGAAACAGATATTCTGGAAAATAAAATATAAACAATAGCGCAATACAGTAGTGCAAAGGAAATTGGAAATGTATATACAGTAGATTTTTCACTCACAAGCCTGGAGTCATAATCTCATATGACTCGGATGGTGTATGCCTTTGGACCATTTCAGGATGCCCAAATCCTTCTTTCAAGCAGGATTCCTTTATCCTCCCCTTTAACCAACTCACAGACAAAAGTGCCAGGTCAGTGGTAAATTTCCAAAAGGGTGATGCTTTATTCAAAATAAAAACTTATAATAAAAAATGTTAAAATAAATTCAAATATAACAATTTGTGGTTTAAATAGGGCTATATAGTCCTTAAAAATCGCCAAAACGCGTTTCGCCTGGTAAAACAGGCTTCCTCAGTCGGCTTTTTTTCACTGTTCAGTCTTTTTCCAATTTTTAAAAGTCCGTTTGTTTTTACTTCCGGGTTCCGGTTTCTGTCCATTTGGAACGCAATTATGCGTTCCAACGATGTCATTTCCTGTTGTGTCACTTCCGGATTTCTGTTCCTATATGTAGGGAGAACCATTAGATGTCTGAATACGAGAATAGCAGAACACACAAGGAACATAAAAAATGGATTGGAGTCACACAGTGTCTCCAACCATTTTAAGACATTCCATAATCAAGACCCCGAAGGAATGTTTTTTTTGTGCAATAAAATTGGTTAAGAAAGATTGGAGAGGAGGAGATTACACTAGAAAAATAGGAATAGAAGAAATGAGATTTATTTTCCGTTTTAACACTATGGCACCTCATGGTTTAAACCAAGATTTCGAACTATGTCATTTCATGAACTGAACTCCCCTACTATTTATTATGGAAATATATTTTTTAGTAAATATTTTTTAAATTTTATGGATATTTTTAATATGGATACCTTTTAAAACAATTAGTTTTTTTTCTGAGTTTTTGAAATGATATATTTTTGAATATGATTATGGAGACTCTGGAAGCACTACAAGAGCACTTTAAAGGAAAATATATAAGAGCACTTTAATGAAAATACACAAGAGCACTTTAAGGAAAAATATTTATATTGCCAGATCACCTTTGGGATATCTACACTATCTTTATATTGAGAAGATATTATAAGGAGAAATGTCCATATTATTATCATTTCTATATTGCAGAAGCATTTTAAAATGTTTATATCATGCTCATGTTGAAGAAGTTTGATATATTAGATAGGCAAAGAACTCTTATTATATATGTGAAGTTTATTGATACATATATATAAATGTGTAAAAACAGACTTCCATGGTTTAATATTGCTAATACACATGTAGAGTTTATTAATATATGTGCATATATAGGTAAAACAGACCTCCATAACTGGATATTATGTGGACTAATTGAAATGGCAGAGATGCCGAAGTACAATGCCACTGGAACGCATTGTGCGTTCCAGCCGATCGAGATCCGGAAGTGACGTAATAGGAAGTGACATCGCTGGAACGCACGATGCGTTCCAGCGAACTGAAACAGAAATCTGGAAGTGACACAACAGGAAATGACATCGTTGGAACGCATAATTGCGTTCCAAATGGACAGAAACCGGAACCCGGAAGTAAAAACAAACGGACTTTTAAAAATTGGAAAAAGACTGAACAGTGAAAAAAAGCCGACTGAGGAAGCCTGTTTTACCAGGCGAAACGCGTTTTGGCGATTTTTAAGGACTATATAGCCCTATTTAAACCACAAATTGTTATATTTGAATTTATTTTAACATTTTTTATTATAAGTTTTTATTTTGAATAAAGCATCACCCTTTTGGAAATTTACCACTGACCTGGCACTTTTGTCTGTGAGTTGGTTAAAGGGGAAGATAAACGGAATCCTGCTTGAAAGAAGGATTTGGGCATCCTGAAATGGTCCAAAGGCATACACCATCCGAGTCATATGAGATTATGACTCCAGGCTTGTGAGTGAAAAATCTACTGTATATACATTTCCAATTTCCTTTGCACTACTGTATTGCGCTATTGTTTATATTTTATTTTCCAGAATATCTGTTTCATTGCCATTTTAAAAAGCTCCATCTTGTTTTTGTATGTAGAAAGCAGAAATACAGACTGTGGGAGCCCGAACAGATGCCTGGCGCACAATGGAGAAGCCACACTGACCAACATGTTTCTAGACAGAATCACAAAGCTTGAGCTGAAAATGGAGGACACTTTCAACAGGTCCAGAAGAAATAACATGAGGGTAAAGGGCCTGCCAGAGAGCATAAGGGGCGCTGACCTGGAACACACTCTGCTCACCTGTTTCAGGGAACGCCTGCCAGACATACCAGACCAGCTATGGCTCATTGACAGGGTCCATAGGGCCCTGCGGGCTAAGGCCCTTCCAAACGGCTCACCCAGAGATGTCATCCTACGCTGGCATTTTTTCTCCACAAAAGAGGCAATATGAAGACAAGCAGGTATATATAACAGAAGCCACACAAAAGGGCCTGATAACCACAGTTTATACACAACACAGCGCCCCAGAAAAAGATGCAGGGTAGCTTCGATACATCGACCAATGGGAGGCGGACTTGTCACAACCACTAGAAGGGGAAGACTGGGTGGATATCTGGGAAGCAGCCAAAAGAAGCTCAATATGTGTCACGCTCCAGGAGCAACCGTACAAAATGCTCATGAGGTGGTACACAGCACCAGAGAAACTTCTGGGTTCTAGTCAGAGACCTCCTTACAGCGGTGATGCAAAGACAAATAGACGTAGAGCCCTGGACGGTTCTGTTATCCAGACAAGTAACAGAAAAAAACACAACAGATATTTGCCTATCCAGCCTGTAGAGTTTGGTTGATATGCTGTTCATTATTGATCTGATGTATTACCTGAAGGTTCTCCAGGAATTCGGAACTCAAGATATGGTACACGATTATAAATTGTTTCTCTGCGACATTTTTCTGGGTCTCCATCACAAAAAATCATGTCCACAATCTCGCTCATCCATGTAGTTCCTACAAAAAAATTTAAATCAGGGACAAAGGTATGTAAGTTTTTCTACAGGGAGTTTGTGCATCAGTGAAAGCCAAACATCCTGCTTTGATTTAAACTCTTCAGGACAGATGACATGCAAGGACAGTCATGCTATAATCGGGTTGTCTAATCAATTTTTTAAAGAAGTGGCTAATTCCCCATACTAAGATGATCAATGAGATTTCCATATGTAAATTAGAAAGGGGCTTATAAATTATACTTTGAATTCAAACCCAAATCCAAATGAAATCTAAATTTAGGCCTAATTAACCTTTCTGTGACTAAAGCCAAGTTGGAGGTTTTTTTTTCCAGATTAACTACTTTTGCCTAAATTTTCCCTTTCAGATTTAAATTCGCTATAATTTGGAATTTGGTGAATAAAATTCCACATGTTATTCTGAACTAAAACTGGATTTATACATTTCAAGCCAAAGCAGTGCAACTTGAAAAATTCTTAGCTCAGATTATTGTCCAATTTAGCTATTTTGTCTGAGAATTTGTAGTTTTTCTGTCCCCTGAATAATCCTAATAGTGTAGCCTTTGAACCAGCTTTCTGTTTTTTTTTCTTCATTATGCTTTTCAGAAGGTAGCTAATTTTATAAATGAGTTATTTATATTTGAGTTTTAGTTAAACCAGTTTCATGACCGCCGGGCCTACACGCAGCCTACATCTTCCTTAGTGTCCTCAGTGTCTTTGACTTCACCTTGTGGAGGCAACTGCTCCATTACTGACACATGACCTGGAAGTATCTTTAGTTATTTGGTGCGGTCTGGGGGTGGTTGAAGTTTGGACGAATGATCTGGGGGGTTGACTGTAGTCACCATCACTGGGAGCAGAAGGACACTTTGCAAAGGTTCATAAATCGCTCCTATGTCTAAGTCACCCTGTGCGCATTATAGGTGCAGGGTTTTTATAATGTGTGTGTGTATATTGTTAATTGTTTTGTATGGTCTCCTGTCCTGATGATGCTTGTTACCAACTAAGTGAATTTGGCTATGGAGCCTGTATAGCGCCCTCTGTTTGTAGCAACAGCTTTATGCACTACCTGACTAGCAAGGTTTGGTAATTTGCATATTCAGGTATATTTGCATATTGCTAATTCTGTAGGCAGGAGAGATATTTTGTGTTAATTATTGTCTTCCCCTTTATGAATATGTCATTGTGTTATTAGATATATGTTGTCTGCTATGATTTGGTTATTTGTATTTTATTGAAGTTGTCACAGCAATCTAAGTGTAATGAGCATAGTCCCAAGTAAAATAAAGCTGTGTATGTTAGTTCTTTTTTAGAACTGTGTGTTCTCTGTGGATTTTTAGGGATCCCAGTAACAGAGTCTTCCGACCTGTTGGAAGGCTGCATGATCCCTCTACCCCTAGATAGATCAAGAGAGCTAGGCCTGAGAGCCGCAAGTGCCTTAGTAAAGTCGATAGCAATCACATTACAGGCAGAGGTGGATACCTGCCTGGATAGAGAGCTGCTGTGAGATTTTCCGCCTGCTTACCCAACAGCTCGACTCTGAGTGCCACAATCCCCTGCGGCATTCCGACGAACACTGCATGCTTGTGTGCAGCATGTTTATATATGCAGCCAAAATACCCACGGGATTCAGTGCAGACCAATGACGTCAGGGCTCAGTTTAGGAGGGTCATGTACCCCCACGAATAGTGGTTAATTCCAAACGGTATTCATCTAATCACTGGTAACTTATGCTTATATATACTTACCTCTCCTATTCCTTGTTGCCCTATTGTGGTTTCTTGGTACGTTGACTGGCTCTTGTATTTCGTTTATCCTGTCCTCTGTACTCCTTTGACCTTGGCTTGTTTCCTCGTTATTCCGCACCTCTGTAATCCTTTGACCTTGGCTTGTTTCCTCGTTATTCTGCACCTCTGTAAGCTTTTGACCTCGGCTTGATACACTGACTCTGTTAATTCGTATAACCCGGCCATTCTAAGGACCGGTATTATGAATATTTCTGTGAGTGATTCTGTCTGTGTGTTCAGGTTCCGCTATATCCTGACAGCTGCAACCTGGTTGGGTAGAAAAGCTCAAGAAAGACCACAGTCAAGCCACGTCGACTGAGGTTGAAGCGCTCCAGGCTCCCCCTTCCCAACGGCTAGGAAGTGGATTCGGCTGAGGTACTCGGTCAGAGTAGAGGAACTTCATCACGGGGGTATATTTATATAATGTTTTATACACCTCCCGTGCTAAAAGGTGAATGTTTTTACATGTTATCATGTAGCACACCACTTTGAATTAAGATGTTTTCACTTCAGTTGACACTTTGAGTTTGCAAGATGTAATAGTTCTCTTTTTGCAAAGAGACAGAGGCCTCAAAAGATCTTTAATTGACCTTGCTTACATCATGACATGAAAAGTAATATGTTGTTTCATGTTACCTGCTTTCGGGTATGTAGAAATGAGGACATCATCTGGTCTTGCCTGAAATTGTTCCACTCGTTCCCAGTTATCAACAATTTCTTTACCCATAAGAACCCCATGTAGGGGAACTAGAAGCTGAAGTGAAGCAGTATCCAGATTTTTCAACCTGATGAGAAAAAAATATAGTTGATGAACACATGATGAAGCTTTCAAACCCTCATCCTGTAGCGATAATTTTGGGGCAAAATATAAAAAATATTTTATGAAAAATTCCTTTTATTAAAATTATTAATATAACAAAGGGCATAGGAGACCATTTTGTAGGACCCCATATATGAAACAGTTTATCCTCCATCTCACAACCTAGGGTATATAGCAAGGTTGGTTGGCCCTCATAATTTAGATATTTGCCCTGGAGATATTACGTGGGCACAGCTGCCAGCCTGCGTGGATTATTATCTCCTTATCTAACATTGGATGGGTGAGTGGTATGGGTGGGAGCCAAGAACTCTCTCCTCAACATGAAATGTATGAAAAAAAATACTTATAAAAATTGTTTTAGTAAAGTTTAGGTAGTTACAGTCCACAGAGTTTTCCTGAACAATAAAATGTTAAAGATTGCAACATGAACTATTAAACTGATGCCAACATATACCTGCCAAGCTTTACATGCTTCCCCCACCCATTAGGACAATAAAAGTTTTACATAACTTCTACATTCATTTGTAGTCACAGTTTACCCAGGAGAAAATCCTAACGTTGGATGACATATTAATAATATTCTGTTTCTATAATAATAGATTGTTTCTTTGATTTAAATTTTTTTTTTTTAATTTTTTGTGCTAATTGCAAAGATCCTAAAAAATGTGCTACGCCTGAAGTATTCTCAAGTTTCCATCCAACCTGACATGCCAGCTTAGGTATTCTCACATGAAACAGGTTAATTACCATAGCAAGTGCATGTAGAAAGTGACCAACTTGTCACTTTTGCTGGACCCATCCAGCCAAGTTCAATGTTAAGCGAAGGGAATTTATAAATCTAAGGTCATCAGCCTGGCAGACAAGGAATTAGATGTGTTCGATGGAGCTGCTAGTCGTTTTAGCTATAAGGTTAAGGTGCGTAACTTGTTTGTTTGCACATAGGTCCGTTTACAATCCACATGTCCCTCTACATATCTCCTATCAGAGATTGTAGTGGTATAACTTCACGTTATAAATCAAGCTTCTTAAATTTGCTGTACTGCATGATGTACAAGTTCCCTACGGCTTGCTCGCAGATGACTGAATCCCTATCAAAAATTATTCTATCCTATAATGTACGTTGTGTATTTCTCACATTGCTTTTGTTGCAATGCAATGCTACCACTATAATAAAGCAGGGAAGCAGAAACATTTTGTGGATGAGACTGAAATGGGTGTAAGGGAGTGTCCCTTTTTAGGAGAGGCAGTCTTGATTTGGACACAAATCCCTTTGTCCCTTTTTCTTTTCTAATTTCCCTCTTTTGTAGGAGCTCAGTAATCGTTGTGTGTCTGAGTTTATACAAGATCGCAACAGCAATAATACTTTCACTAATGTGTCTTTAAACAGTAAATGTATTTAGAAATCAGTCTGTGAAAATAAGATCCATTGTTCTTGTTCTAAACGTAATTCCAAGACACGGAGGTGAGTGTTGTTCATTAAACTCTTTCTTTACCCTCATAGCAGCAAAGAAATCAATATAAAAAAAATATAAATTAATACAATGGTCCATATACCCATACCACCATGACATCACCCTTAAACATGTCCATACACGTCATCTTTCCTTGCTGCTCCTGTGGAGTTCAGCTAAGTATTTTCCACATTCCCTGATCTTTTGTCTCTTACTGTATTACATTAAATGTTGAATTCATATTTACACAATTTTGCCTTATCTTTTATTTGTAGGTTATTTCCTGGTTGTTCTGTTGCTCTCTGTATTTTTTTTTTTGTTTCTCTGTCATTTTAACCCCCTTTAAGGCTTCCTTCCCCTGTTTGCTCTCCCCAAGGATTTTCTACCTTTGCGTCCCCTTTCCACTTATACCTCAGTTGTTCTCCTCAGCATTCACAGTGTAACACCATGATTCAATTACCCAGCACAGACCCCATTTGATTTATATTGTAGGCCGCAATTTTAGGAGGCTTGCAGTCCCTTATGCCTCTTTCTTACTCCAGCATCATTTTATTGCTGTTGATGTGTTTTTTCCCCAGCCCTGATGGTTAAATTGCTTGCTAGTTTTTACTGCAATCAGGTTGGCTTGCTAATTATACTCTTTATGCTCCTCTGTCCTGTGTAGGTTACTGTGCCTGCCCACTCTACTAGCTTAATACCCTTCATTGTCATTGGGTCTCAGTCATTGCCCTCTCTCTTTTGCCTGTCTTAGTGTTTTTTTTAGTGTTATACTAATATTGTTTATTGTTTTTTCAACTGATACAAATTGTATATTTGCCTATATGCATAAACCTGCTCCTGCAGACAACCTGCCTGGCACCAGGGAGACTAGAGAACCTCTTTCCCATTCTTGGGACATGTCTGAGTCCCCTTCAACTCATACTTGCATCAGGCTACGTATGGTCAATGTATCGGCCATTTAATACATCACTCATCTTGGAGCTACCCAGTCAGCTGTACTGTTGGCCCTAGCCAAGGTTTTGGGGAATTTTGCCTAATAGAAACATAGAAACATAGAACCATTTCACCCATCTAGTCTGCCCAATTTTCGAATACTTATATTAGTCCCTGGCCTTATCTTATAGCTAGGATAGCCTTATGCTGCATGCTTAAACTCCTTTACTGTGTTAACCTCTACCACTTCAGGTGGAAGGCTATTCGATGCATCCACTACCCTCTCCGTAAAGTAATACTTCCTGATATATATATATATATATATATACATATATATATATATATATAATTTTTTATATTTCTTTATTTTTGTTATATGAAATTTTTAACATTTGCATGTGAGGTACCCCAAAGGCAATCCTCCAGCACATTAAGACAACCAGATACAGAGATAAATGTTAAAAAAACACAACCAAAAAAAAAAAAAAAAAACCCCATCAATATAACTGCTAAAAGCATAGATAGGCTGGCAATATATTATAATAAAGGCACTGTGTAAAATTAAACACCAAATGATTCCACATAAAGTACAGTGTTTCCATTGAAAACCATCGTACACACGATGTATATTTCAATCACGCTACATTTGTCCACTGCCAATCACTATCAAAAGGAATTAACACCCAAAATTTCCATGGTATAGTTGTCACATTGATAAACATACAAATAAATAAGTAAATAAAATAATAATGAAAAAAAAAAAATAATAAAAAAATTATAATGCAAATAAATTACATTCTCTGAGACTCGATATGGGGGGAACCACAATCTGGTATCATGAATTCTGTCTATTTGTCTAGGGTAACCATAGTTTGGCCACATCTCTAATGCCAAAAAAGGGGTTTGATTCCATCCTGTACTGATAATCTATTTGCTCCATAATATTGTGCAATATAAATGGGATAGAAGATTTCCAAGCCCTAGCTATACATATTTTAATGGCAAAAAATATATGGGTCAAAAGATATATATTTTTTTTTATAATTCTTTATTTTTATTTTTTTTTGTTATGCATTGATCATACATATGCTCTTGCTATGCCCCAACAGTGTAACAAGAATTTGAAACAGAAGCGATGCTGATTGTAGGGCATACGATTGTCTTGCACTTTTTTTTTTAAATTAACTGAGTAACAAACTGGTCGTCCATGTCCTAATGTAGCAAAACGTAAGATAGGTCATGTTTTCTAAGTGGGTCGGTTGGTTATGTGAGTAGCTCTATGAGAATACTGTTGCACACAGGCATTTTAATTGCGAGATTAAAAGGGTAGGATTACACGTGAGAAGTCACAAGTAAACAGTCATCTATACACATAGGCACAGTGTTTGCTAGGCAAGCCGGCAATGTGGATTGGTGTAAGTGGGTGATGGAGTATCTGGAGGCAAGTCATGTTTACCTGTGTAGTTGTGTGGAGGTCGCTAAGGCATGAGTGGATGTGCGTTAAGAGTTAGTCATCTAACGGCCGAAGCTGGTCGGGTACACATTGAGTCCTGTAAAGTTACTTAGCCCACGCTAGCGGCCGGTATGTGATTGTCCACCATGGCAGCTTTCCAGTGCAGGAGGTAGTTAGGGTGCTGCAAACGTTTTAGAGTGTGCTCTTGAGTGCTTAGTCCCTTGGCCTCCCGGTCTGGACACTCTGTCCCCATTCCAGGTTGTGTCGGTGCGGTTCTCTTGGCAGCCGGACCAGGGTTGCGTCTTTGCGGTCTGCGCCGCAGGAGTTGTCCCCACCGGTCGAGCCTGTAGATGACGAGAAATCCACGCAGGTGAGTAGCATTTTTGCTTACTTTGCTCGTTATGGCGTTGGGTGAGAGTTGCTGCAGCAGCCTGCTGTGGGCAGTTGCGGCTCGATAACAGGCCCTGTTTCCCCGGGGGGCTTGCCTTCTTGCTGCGTGCTGGTTCCTGGCAGGGTTGCAGGGGTGAGTGCCGGGCGGTTGTGGTGGGCCAGGGTGTATGAGTGTCAGCGGGTGGTGTGGTGCTGCGTTCGAGGGTGCCTCCCTCTCATGCGGCTGTCTGTAGCCCCTCTCACCCACTCCTACATGGCTGTGCCGCCTTGTCGTAGCACTCTGAGCACTCTGCAGTTTCTCCCAAAATTTCTGGAATATGTCATTGAGGCGCTTCTTGAGGTCAGTGCTGTTGGCTGTGTATTGCTTTGGGGTTGCGGGTTGACTCCGCTGCCATGTTTGGCACTCCACCGCCATTTTGTCTGTGCGTCGTGTGTTGCCGTCCCTGGAGCTTGTATGCAGGTGAATTTTCACTTTAAATGGGTCGCTCTGGGCTCACAGCGAGGACCGGGATATCCCCCACCGGTTCCAAGGTGGGGGGGTTGAAGGCTTGAGGGTCGAGGAAGTCCTGTAGCAGGTAGGGAGAGAGGAGAGCGGCCGTCGCTCCCCTGCGCACCATCCTTCAGGCCTCTGTTGCCGCGGCTTGGGTCCCCGGGTGGTCAAAATAGTGACTCTGGTGTCCAAAGCTGTGTCCGGGTGTCCCCAGTGCGGCTCTAACCCTTCAGAGTGGATCAGTGCCAATTATTGGGGTGTTTACCCCCAAAAACAGGTAGTTTGTGCAGGAGCTTGGTTTTGGTCTCCTCCTTTACTGTGTTGATTCCCTTTATGTATTTAAATGTTTCTATCATATCCCCCCTGTCTCGTCTTTCCTCCAAGCTATACATGTTAAGATCCTTTAACCTTTCCTTGTAAGTTTTATCCTGCAGTCCATTAACCAGTTTAGAAGCTCTTCTCTGAACTCTCTCTAAAGTATCAATATCCTTCTGAAGATACGGTCTCCAGTACTGCGTACAATACTCCAAGTGAGGTCTCACCAGTGTTCTGTACAATGGCATGAGCACTTCCCTCTTTCTGCTGATAATACCTCTCCCTATACAACTAAGCATTCTGCTGCAAGCATTTCCTGCTGCTCTTTTATATTGTCTGCTTACATTTAAGTAATCTGAAATAATTACCTCTAAATTCCTTTCCTCAGATGTTGAGGATAGGACTCTATCAAATATTCTGTACTCTGCCCTTGGGTTTTCATGTCCAAGATGCATTATGTTGAACATCAACCCTGTTATATTTCTTAGTATCATCAGCAAAAAGACATACCTTACCATCAAGACCTTCTGCAATATCACTCATAAAAATATTAAAGAGCATGGGTCCAAGTGCAGATCCCTGAGGTACCCCACTGGTGACAAGACCATTCTTAGAAGATACTCCATTGACTTCAACCCTCTGTTGCCTGTCACTCAGCCACTGCCTTACCCATTCAACAATATTCAACAATATTGGAATCCAAACTTGCAGTTTATTAAAAAAAACCTTCTATGTGCAACAGTGTCAAAAGCCTTACTGAAATCTAGGTAAGCAATATCTACTGCACCACCCTGCTCTATTATTATGTTGTCTCTGATCTTGAAATCCATGTGATTTTAGATGTTTAACAATCCTATCTTTTAACATGGTTTCCATTACTTTCCCCATTACTGAAGTAAGGCTTACTGGCCCAGAGTTGCCGACTCCTCCCTACCACCTTTCTTGTTAATGGGCACAACATTCGCTAACTTCCAATCTTCTGGGACTACTCCTGTTAACAATGATTGGTTAAATAAATCTATTAATGGTTTTGCTAGTACACCACTAAGCTCTTTTATAACTTTGCGTGTATTCCATCAGTCCCATTGACTTATTTGTCTTTACTTTTGACAGTAGAAATATAACCTCTTCCTCTGTAAACACACATGTAACAAATGACTCTTATGTCCTTTTTCATAACTGAGGCCCCTTTCCTTCATTTTCATCTGTAAATACGAAACAAAAATATTAATTGAGGCAGTCAGCTAGACATTTATCCTCTTCTACATACCTTCCTTCTTTTGTTTTTAATCTAACTAATCCTTGTTTTACTTTCCTTTTCTCGTGGATGTATCTAAAAATGTTTTGTCCCCCTTTTTTTTTTTTTACTGACTGTGCTATTTTCTCTTCTGTGTGTTATTTGGAAGCTCTTATAATTTGCGTAGCATCTTTCTGCCTAACCTTATAGATCTTTCTATTTTCTTCACTCTGTTTTTTTTTATAATTACTAAATGCTAACTTTTAGTTTTAGAGTACCACAGTGGTTTCTTAATTTTTTTGCTTTTACTGACAAGCCTAATGCAATTTTCTGTTGCCTTCAGCAGTGCAACTTTAAAATAATCCCATTTTTCTTGGACTTTATTTAAATTGCTCCAATCTGATCATGACTCCTTTACACATTTTAGAAAGGTCTGTTTTTCTAAAGTCCAAAACTTTAGTTTTTGTGTGGTGTGACTCAGTCACTGTTCTTATATTAATCCACACTGACTGATGATCACTGGATCCTAAAATTTCACCTGCCGTAATATCTGATACCAAATCTCAATTTGTTAACACTAAATCTAGTATGGCCTCTTTACGAGTTGGCTCCTCAACGACTTGTTTTAGAGACAATCCCAGTAGGGAGTTTAGAATATGTGTGCTCCTGGCACTAGCAGCTATTTTGGTTTTCCAGTTCACATCTGGAAGACTATAGTCACCCATGATGATAACTTCATTGTCATTTTAGCTATTTCCTCAACTAGTAGATTATCTCTTTTATTTGTCTGGGGGCCTTTAAATCACACCTACACAAGTTACTGTGTGATTACCAAATTCTAACGTAAGCCAAACGGACTCTACAAGAGATAGGAGTACTGGTATTCCTAGATGGAATATACAGAAGAGAAGGAGTCTGACTAACACAGAGCTGCTCACACTGGAAATAATAGAGATTCATCAAAACCTATACAAGAAATAGCAAAGATGGCACCCTAGAATATGGTGCCTAAAATCCAGGAGCTGGCTAGTGATAACGGCTCAAATAGATAAAATAAATAAATAAATTAATGAATAAATAAAAGAGTGGATGAAAATAAATACTGTGACTTTAAGATGTAAGAACAATGAGGTAAATGTGCAGCAAATATATGTGCAGTGCTAATATCGTTATCCCTGATTTGATACAGGGTAGATGATACTGTTACCAAATAATATACTTTTGTATGAATAAAGATATATGAAAAAAATCACTTAATATGAAGCAGACCAGTATATGGAACTGGTTGCTGTAGAGCAATAGAGGTGATGTATCGCTTAAACCACTAAAAGCAATGTTTTCCAAACGGACTCTATGTTCGCCTCACTTACTTTTATTAGGCTAGATTTTATGCTATCCTTCACATAAAGGGACACCCCTCCCCCTTTCTTGCCTTCCCTGTCTTTTCAATATAAAGAGTACCCTGGTATTGCTATGTCCCAGTCATTTTTCTCATTGTACCGTGTCTCGGTAACAGCGACTAAATCTACATTATCAGTTGTCATTATTGCCACAAGTTCATGGATCTTATTCCCTAAAGTGCAAGCATGACTCTAAGCTTATAATTTTTTAACACACTTGACAGGCACCTTCTGTCCTTGTTTTGGGGGGAAATTGGATTGATGTTTTGCACCCCCACCCCCCTCCTAGTTTAAATACATCCTAGCAAAACCTCTGAACTGCTCACTGAGAACATTTGTTCCCTTTTGAGAAAGATGCAAACCATCTTTTTTATACATTTTATTTCTATTCCAGACAGAGCTACCATGAGAAATAAAGCCAAATGCCTGGTCCCGACACCATTCACCAAGCCACAAATTAAAGTCCCTAATACGCATCCGCCTGTCCTTCTGAGTGTTATGCAGAGGCAGAACTTTAAAGAATGACAGTGTGGAAGCAACCTGCCGTATATCATTGGCAAAAACACTAAAAACTTCCTTAACCTCTGAAACCTCATTGCAAGACAAGTCGTTTGTCCCTAGATGGACAAGTACATCCAATTCCCCTTCCTGCTTTGCTTGCTTAATAATATTACAGATACGTCTCCTGTCTCTGTGAGCAGTAGCTCTGGGAAGACACCTCACAAGACCACCATTGTCCATCTCCACACCTCTTATAATGGAATCACCCAACAACAACTGCTTTCTATTAGGCCTCACCATAGTCTCCAAGCCGGTCTCCACAACACCACTAGTCTCAGTGCCTCTCTCCACAACACCACTAGCCTCAGTGCCTCTCTCCACAACACCACTAGCCTCAGTGCCTCTCTCCACAACACCACTAGCCTCAGTGCCTCTCTCTACAACACCACTAGTTTTAGTGCCTCTCTCCACAACACCACTAGCCTCAGTGTCTCTCTCCACAACACCACTAGCCTCAGTGCCTCTCTCCACAACACCACTAGCCTCAGTGCCTCTCTCCACAACACCATTACACTCTGAAAATGCAGAAAATGAATTATGAAGAGCAACAGACTGTGCAAAATGCCTTTTATCCACAACTCTAAGTCTACCAGATCCTCCAGTAATCCATCTGCCTTTCCTAGCATGTCTCTGCGGCAGTGGCTTTGCAGCAGTTCCAGTCTGAGTGTCTTCACCAGATAATTTACAAATTTCAGACTTCAAAAATACAATCTCCTGCCGCAAGATAGAGAACTGTCTACAGATTAGACAACAACCAAACCTCCAAAAAGTGGAACGTGAAACAAATGCATAGCAATTGTTACACTGAACTAAGCCTGCCATTCCAATTATGAGAATAATTTAAATCTAACAAATCTTAACTTTTTCTTTATCCTCCTGAATACCTCAGATTACCTCCAGGTTATCTCCAGAATATCTCCAACTACACACTTAGAAACAGCACTTAGAAGTAGCAGCCAAGCTAATGGCAACAAGCCTTATATAACTCCTAAAATTACCACCCACTAGGAATGTTTAACACCTGGGTAGGCCTCTGCTTATTTGCAAACAATATCTAATTAATCAGCAATCAACAGCAAGTAACTAGCTTAATCAAATCAAATGCCTTATAATTACCAACAGGAATTCAAACCTTGTGCAATCAGTAACCTTTTCCTACAGATGAATCTTACCTGTAACAGGGTAGGCCTCTGCTTATTTACGAAGCTCCCAGGGATCTGATAGTCTGCTTCCAGACCAAACAGGACAAAGCGGCGGTAATGACTGCCTTACGAGGACACTCACATTATATATTTGAAACCTCTTCCCTCACTTTTTATGCGGACTTATCCGGGGAAACGCTAAAGTGGCGAAGATCCATGCAGCCTCTTACAACGCTGCTTCGCTCACGCACCATCACCTACCGGTGGCGGGCAGCCCAAACCCTGATGATCACCCACGAGGGGAACTCCTACCCGGTTCATAAACTGGAGGACGCGGCTGCAATCCTAGGGAACCTGGGCCTCCCACCCGACTCAATCCTCAAAGCCATGCACCAAACGACAAACACACAGCACAACTGGGACCCAGTGAATGTCACAGCCTTCGTACCCTGGAGAACCCAGCAGACCACCTATGCCACGGTCACAACATGAGGATACAACAGGACGGAGAGACGACAGTTACCAGCTGCTCAAAGCAGAACGCACCCCATTTTTCATAAAGACACGCTCAGGACAGTTACTGCAAAACCTAAGAAGTAATAACTGAACTATGCCTACCAAATAATACCCTCAAAGTTGGGGCGATATGCCTAAACCTCACCGCTCCTATTGCCAATTGCCATGGACACTACATACCCTATGTTATGGTTATATTTTATTTTATTTTGATAAACTAAACTCTTTAAATGTTGGGATATAATGATGTGTGCAATGTAGACCCTACTGACAGGCATCCTGATGCTGGACTATCGGACCATACCACCCTCGTCCCGACACCACCCTGCCTGACATTAAGACACAAAGTAATCTCTGTCCCTCTAGTGGTACCACATTGCTTTTTGTGTTAATTGTATTTTTGTTCTTTCCCTTAATTCGTTTTCTTTTCACATAACTCGGATGAACTCCGACTGTATGCATACAATTGACCTTGCAAGCCCCTTCTGATTGCTCCAACAGGAGATCACAGCCCCTCTGTGGCGTCACTTGAGATCAAGCAACCACTAGCTAAACATACCCATGTATAGCCTAGTTCAAACCCATGCATACTACATTGGTTCTTCAACATACACAGTGCTTATACCTTAACCTCTAGAGCCAAGCAGTCTACATAACTTAATAGGCATAGTATCTAAATTTTATATCTTATGTACATTTTTTTTTTCTCTTAAACAGATCGCTACTCGCATACTCACTGCATGTAACCTACCACAATACAATAGACCGATTTTGAGCTCGAGCAAGCTATCAGCACTCCTTATGTGTTCTCCTCCTAGGACAAGCTTGGTCTTAACCTGTATTATACTTAAAAATTGTGTACTGTAATCTGTATGCCATGTTACTACTTGTTGTTGAATGGTCTTCTGCAGCTATTGTGGCGTAGTAGACCAAAATGTTCTTTTCTCATACACAAGCAAAAATAAAGAATTAAAAAAAAAAAAAAAAGATCCCGAAGGAAGATACTTGATATTGGTATGTAATATAAATGACATCTGCTACACCCTTGTTAATGTAAAAATAGATTGAGAATTACATTTTAGATACCATTTTATATATAATTTTATTCTTAGTGTATTTTGATATTAATATATACATGTATAATTAAATATGTTAATTCGATATTAATATATAATAATATATGTTAATAACAAAATACACTTAGAATGAAAATGCAAACATATATTTTTTTTCATGTATGTGTGAAAATAAAAAAATATAATTTAATTCTATGTGTATATTTAAGTATTATTTTTACATAATTTTGTGCTTTTACTTATTATATATTAAGGGACCTGCCTGGCAACTCAGGCAGAAAGTCCAGATACTTTAATTTGCAAGTCCTATATTTGACCCTGTAACTTTCCAAAACTCCATACTTGAGCATCACTGTACTTATGAGACATCGCTGAACACACATATGAGTGTTTTAGAGCAGTAAAACATATAATAACGATGATATCATCAGTAAAAAAAAATGCAATAACAAAAAAATAAACATTAACTTTGGCCAGGGTTTGTGACAAAATGGCAACCACGAAATACCCAAGGTTTGCCATGATTAAAGGCAACATGGGCCAAGCAAACCAATCTGGTAAATTTTTATGTGTAAAAACTAAAAAAGGGGAAAGCCCTATATTTGACCCTGTAACTTTCCAAAACCCCATAAAACCTGTACATAGGGGGCTACTGTTACACTCGCGAGATGTCGCTGAACACAATTATGTGTATTTTATTGCAGTAAAAGCTAATAGTATTATGACAATCACAGTTAAAATACCATGCAGAACTTGGAAAATAACACAATTTTGTAATTTCTCAAATTTTTTTAGATTTTACTCATATTAAATTATGGCCCATTTATAAATGTTTGATGTGAAATTAAGGTTCCATTTCTCCTGAATAAAATGATATATGATAAGTGTGGGTGCACTTAATATTAAAAAGATAAATTATAGTTGAGCAGACATATACCGTAGCTCAAATTTGTTTTGTTTTTCTCAGAACCCATACAATTGTCTCCGCCCTTAAAGGGTTAAGATGCAAATTTAAACTATGTTTTAATTTTTAAATTTATTTAATAAAACTACATATATTAATCATGTAATAAAATCTTAAATGTAGGGAGCCTTATTAGTCTTATATTTTCTGCCTTTTTTGTTCCCATCAGTTTAAAATGAGCCTCTAAACTACAAAAATAGTGATAATCCTGCTTCCATTCCAAGAATATTAGTAACTGCTAGAGTTTTTCATTTGGTTTCAAACAAGTAGTAGTAGGAAAACAAATCTGTATTTACATTTATTAGCCTCAACATTAAAACCACCTTCTTAATATAGTGAAGGTCCCTCTTGTGCTTACAGAACAGCTCTGATGTGTCAAGGCATGGATTCCAGAAGACCTCTGAACATTTCCTGTGGTATCTGGCATCACGATATTAGCAGCAAATTATTTAAAGTTGTCAGAGGTGGCTCTCTAATTAGGTGATTAGGAGGCCGCCTTAAGCTTCGTGCTGTCTGGGGCTCGCGGCCGCCTAAATATCCTTAGGGTCCAACACAGGACACATAATGCCACAAGGTACGAGGCCCCTCCAGTCAGTCCGCCCTGACTGACAGCCTAGCACTGCCTCCAGTCTGCTGCTCCGTCGGGTGCAGAGCTGCAAACTGAGGTGTCTCGCTATCTCCAGCCTCTCAGAGCCTCTCAGAGCGTTGCCGCGGGTTACCACGGCAATGCTCTGCCTAGAGATCGCAAGACTTATCACGTGGTCTGCAGCTCATATCCACCAGAGCTGCAGACCGGAGAACTAGACCACCATGGAGAGAGGGCACCCACCGGACCACCAGGATAATCCACAGGACCACCAGGGAAGGTATTTATGAACCCCCTCTACCCCCTCTCACAGCCCCTCCACCCCACTCTACCTCCTGTCACAGCCCCTCCAGCCCCCCACACCCTGTCACAGCCCCTCTACCCCCTGCCACAGCCCTGCCGACCTATCACAGCCTCGACACCCTGTCATCCAACAGCCACCCACACAACCTGTCACCCCTCCACACACACACACTCTGTCACAGCCCCCCCCACACTCCCTGTCACAGCCCCCAAACACACACCGTCACCCCACCTACACCCTATCATCCCTATGCATACACTGTCACCTCCACATGCACTCAAGGTCAACCCCACCCACACACATCGTCACCCTATACACATACACTATCACCATTCCCAAACACTTTCAGCTCCCACACACTGTCACCCCCTTCACCCAGCCACACTCACATTAAACCCTCCTAATCCTCAACCCCCCAACCATACCAAACTTACCTGCCCTTGCTTTACCACACTTACCCTATCACATTAAACCCCCCCCAATCCTGTCTGACTCAACCTTCTCTTGCCCTGTCGCACTCAGTCCCCAACCCTGTCACACTCACCCTACCACATAAGTCCCTCCAATTCTGTCCTCCAAATGTGCATCACTCACCCCAAAGCCTATCACACTCGCCCCAACCCTGCCACACTCACTCTTGGATGGACTTCATTGTTCCAACACATCTCACAGATGCACAATTGGATCGAGATCTGAGGAATTTGAAGGCCAAGACAACACCTTTAACTCTGTCATCTTTCTCAAACCATTCCTAAACAGTGTGGCAGGGAACATTATCCTGTGGAAAGAGGCCACTACCATCATGGCACAATATTGCTATGATGGGTGTACGTGGTCTGCAACAATCTCTAAGTAGTTGGTACGTGTCAATGTAACATCCACATGAATTCCAGGACCCAAGGTTTCCTAGCAGAACATTGCTCAGATCATGGCATTGCCTCAGCATGCCTGCCTTCTATTCCCCAGGTAAACTATGCACACACTTGGCTGTCTACCTGATCTGAAACAAAATGTGATGCATCAGGCCAGTAAACCTTCTTCCATTGCTCCATGGTCCAGTAACTCTTCTCTGTGATCGGACTAGAAGAGCTAGCTTTCACTGCCCACGTGCATCAATGAGCCTTAGATGCCCATGACCCTGATCCCAGTTCACCGATTGTCCTTCCTTGCACTACTTTTGGTAAATACTAATCACTGCATACTGGCAGCACCCCACAAGACTTGCCATTTTGGAGATGGTCTGACCCAGCCATCTAGCCATCACTATGTGGCTCTTATCAAAGTCACTCATATCTTTTTGCTTGCCCATTAAACTGAAGAACTGACTATCCACTCGTTGCCTAATATATATCACACCTTGAGAGGTTCCATTGTAACAATATAATCAATGCTTTTCACTTTACTGTCAGTGGTTGTAATGTTGTGGCTGATCAGCATATATATTTAATCAATATATACTAATTGTAACTATATAAATTTAGATTTATTTTTTTTACTGACCCTCCTTTTTTCTTTCTATTGGTAACTTCTGTGAACCAAATGGTGTAAAAATGCGCCTATCAGTGTACTGGAAAATATGCATAATATTTATAGGCATTTTTTTCACCATTGTGTTTAATCCAAATCATATTTCCTGAATCGAACGTATGAAGGAAAATTTATCCAAACCCAAATTGCACATGAATCAAACATGAATCACCTAACACAAATTTTGTTTTTGCCATGCTTCTACTTTAAACGTAAAGGCTGAGATTACCACAATTCACCAGCGCCAAAAATGTTAATGGTGATATCTAAATTCTACTGACAAGTACAAACATTTTGGCAGGATAATAAGGATTTCAAAATCCCTCTTTATTATATTGGTGGCAGTGAGGATGGATGCTGTAAACTGTAGTGGTTATAATACTCAGTGAGTTCCTTTAAACCCTTAAGGAACAAACTTCTGGAATAAAAGGGAACCATGACATGTTACACATGTCATGTGTCCTTAAGGGGTTAAGCATGTAGGTTACATTTGGTGTTCTGGTGCATGAAGTTTGCGTGTTCATTATTGTTAAAATGGTTTGTAGGTTTATTGATATGTGTTTGAAGGGTTTATACGTAAATATCTCTTTGCAAATGTATACATTTCGAATTCTACGTTTTTGTGTATATAAAAAAAAATTGCAAAACATACTCATCTGATTCAAACCGGATCATTCTGAGTGCAGTTGAGATATTTTGCCGTCAGAGATGCAACTAAAGAGAATGGAGAGTTAAGAGCTCACTGTGGTATGTTTTGTTGTTTTTTAGATTTGCCGATTGCAGAGAGTGCCAACTTAGTCATGTTTTATCTGGGTTGTGTAAAACATTAACTAAAGCAGTATACAGAGAAATCACAAACATAGGCTTCTAAAGTTGAATTGATTATAACAAATGTTAAATAATTCACCTGGAAAAAAAAACGTTTTACTACTGAATAGAGCACTCAAAGGATATTGTAAACTTTAAAACATTTTTGATTTGAAATCTAATCCTCAGTAAGGTTAGTAACATTTTTAGGTAGGTCAAGGGTCCAGTTTTGTATGGTTACAACGTTATCTAATGGAAGTAAGATGTTCATTATGTAAAAGGTGAAGTAGCCATACTAAAGAGTTTATGTGTAATTTAATCTGTAAATCACTGTGGGAGTTTAGTTTTTGTGTTCATAAACTATTGTCTACATTTCATTTTAAGAATTTGTAGTTAAGTTTGAGAAACACCTGGCGCTTGAGCCCTGCCTACTCTTTTAAAGAATCACTATAGCATTTGGAATACAAATCTGTAACTACTTTCTAGGTCTCTACCCCCGGCTCTTGGGTTTTTTGCTAGGATATCCCGACACCTTACTCGAGCACTCACGATGCACTTATTATGCACCTAAGGGAATCCTAACGGCACTTATTGTTTTGCTCAATATTTTTCACTTTTACTTTTCTCTATTATACAATGTATTATTTGGAGTAGGATTATGAGCAGGTAGCTCGTAGCTAGGGACATTCCTTTTAGTGCTAGTTCTAGCATAGAACACCCACGAAGGTGTTATAAGGAGCTTATAGGGAAACAGAATAGTAGCACCCTTAGCAGTTACTTATTTAGTCCGATCTTATGGCTTATGGGCTATTACTTTCAGATGTCCATATATGCTGAGGGAGATTTCTGTTTTCGCTTTTGTTGCTGTTCCCTTCTATCCCCTCTACCTACCGGCTCATATCTATTATAGGTGTCTACTAGGGAGATAATACCATTGTTTTTTCTCCCATATATTACACCTTAATCATTGGGAGGACTATTCAAAGAGGGCTGGATTACTAGTCTCGGTCCCTGTGAGGCTTCAATACCGAGCTATTAACAAATACTATTATTTCATTTGCCCTAAGCAGTCTCCAATGATCGTATAGGGTTGCAGCAGTTTTACTTTCTAAAGTGCACTGTATCTCTTTTTGGCAAACGGTAATAAAGTTTAACTGAAACATTAGTTTAGCCACGATACTTTGTTGCACACCTCATACCCATACTCAGTGCACATCGTTCTGATACCTGCTTACCTTATTTTATATCCTCTCCACTTGAGTTCATAGGTATTTTTGTTTTTTTATTTTTTGGTATGTCCGTTATACTGATACCAGTGAATTGATAGTGCTCCTTAAAGGGGCAGCATTCGATTTAAGTTTATTTTTTTCTTTTTGGCATTTATTTTTCATGTGATACTCCCTTTTCTTTTAAATGTATACTAAGAAATTAGCAATTGACAGCACACTCCAGTTCAGTCTTGGCACAGCCACATCACTTCACATTGAAACAGGAGCAATAGAATTTTTTCGCTTTACCTCCTCCATTCACTGTTCAGTGACAGACCTGGGCATAGCTTATAACAGCGATTGAAAAAGAGCCAACATGAAGTCACCCAGTTTAAAGATAACGCTAAAAACAACAGTGTATATTTTTTCACAAACCTATATAAACAGATATTCCCTAAATACAGGGCATATGTAAACATAACATTAAAAGCTAGAGCAGTGTCAGTCATCTTTAAAAATATTCACTATGACCAAAAGTATCAACTATGGCCTACCAATTATAGAGTTTTAATGTTCCAGCCTCACCCATTGCTGACAAGTGCATGAAATCCAACACATAGCCATATAATCTTCATAGATAAATGTTGGCAGTGGAATTGGTTGTAATAAAGAGCTCAGTTACTGTAGAAAAATTGCACAGTCATTTGATGCCACTTTCTCCTCAAGTCAGATTGTGTCATTTTTTTCCCCACTGCATCTACACTGGTCAACAGTATTGTGTCTAGGAACAACAGCCCAGCTACTAGCTAAGTGGTAGACCTAGCTAAGTGGTAGACCACACGTAAACACAGAGAGGGGCACTGAATACTGAATAGCATAGCACATAAAAAACACATATTATCTAATGCATTGCTCACTACAGAGGTACAAACTGCCTCTGAAAGCAACATGAGCACAAGAATTTTGGAGCGTTGGGACCATCATATGATATGTGATTTGGATGGTGGACACTTTTCCCTTTCACGATCCTGGGAACGTATTGCTCGTTAAAGAGTCATTTCACGTTACTTTTCAAAGTTCATTCTCTTTTTGTCTTTCTGTTTCATTTCATTCCTATTTATTTGCAAAACTCAACTTTGATTTATATATATATATATATATATATATTTATTTTATATAGAGTTCAAATAGAGATTGTAGCCGTATTAGTCCAGTGATGTAGATGTAAAAAACAAATAACATTTGTATCTTGTAATATTTTATGACTGTCAGAAATAATAGAGAATCCCAACACATAAACCTGGAACATCTTAGGGACACAGATAAGGCCATTGCCTTATCACCCGTCCTTAGAAGTGGCTGGGCTTAAGGTTTCAAGGGATAATAAAAACTAAAACCACACTCTTGGACTATGAGAGATCACAACACAGCACAGGTTCCAGCATAGACTTGAGAATAAATAATGAAGCAAAAACTTGAGTTAAAGACGTTGCCAGAATGATGCCGTGCTTGTGTAATCTTTTGGATAAGAGAGATCAGAGGTGGAGCTGACCTTGTCAATCAGGAGGCTGGTATGAGACACAGCATCATATTGATCATGGTAATGACTCCAATATGGAAGAGGTTCACTGCCTTCAGTCCCAGAAATCGAGTGATTTATATTGAAAAGTAAAATGGTACAAGAGTATCAGGAGGGACAAAGAAACAAATTAAGGGAGGGATGATAATCTCCTCTGTGTCATTAATAAAATCACAATTTTCCATCATGTACATAGGACAATCCTTGAATTTTATTACATATCTGGACTCATTTTACGCTGATTTAAAACACATTAATTACCAAAGTAAAAATGTGGCCCATTGGGTGGAAGTAAATAGATAAAGGTAGATTCAATGGATCAGCCTAGAAATCTTTCAATTTGCAACCCACTTACAGGGCCTTGGAAGCAATGGCCCCTTTGATGGAATAAATTCCAAAATGAAAAGCTAGCTTGGACTGAGTTGACGGTGGGCTTCTTGTTCATTTGAAATCTTGGGAAGCATTGTGTAGAAGGTATCACATCTGTGGAGTTATAAACAAGTATGCATGGGGAAACAGGGTCAGGGGACAATTTTGCCCTAGAGCCTACGAAAGCAGCAGTTGCTTTTATGGTTCTTAAAGTCAAACACCAAAAACACTCTAGCTTGCAGAAATGCTTTGTGTGTGAAGAGTGCATCCTCTTCTTTCATATTACAAAAAGTACAGATTTCAATAGAATTTGGCAGATTAAGAACTTAACCTTGTTACGTCCCCCTGGATGTCAATCAGAAAAACGGTCTGGTTACTTCTTGGCAGTTTAGCTCAGTGGAGCAACGGACTTACAAAGACTTCTCATTAAACACACACATGTGCTGGGGAAAAGTAGGAGGTTTTGCAAAGGCCGAAGACAGCAAATCTAATGCAGAAATAAATGCATGCATGTTTTGTTGGGGGTATATCTACTAAATTGTTATAAAAAAAATAAAATTGCTATGGGAATGTTCTTTTAAGATACAAATGTAAAATTTGTTTTCATTTCTACATTTATTAAATAACTTATGCATCATGCGATACAGAATCTTAAATTCAGAGGTTAATCTTATGTCGTCTGCTTTTCACAAACAAGGTTGTTATTTTTTTGTTTCCATCTCAACTACAAAACAAAGTAATAACCCTGCTTCCTTACTAAGAGTATTCATAACTACACTAATGGTAAAACCTAATCTCAACATAATTCAACAGCATCAAAGGGGTGACAGAGATTTATACTAGCCGAATCACGCAGAGCGGTGCAAACATTTTGGTATGATAATGATGATGTGAAAGTTCCTCATTATAACATTGGTGGCAGAGGGGATGGGCATTTGTTGTCAAAGACTTTCCCTCAAAGACTCCTGGAACTTTATATATAGCAATGATTTATAGTTCTTATGGTACTCAGAGAGTCTGTTTAATTATTCAGTGGTTTTGGAGCATGATGCTTGTGTTTTGATGACCTTACTATTGTGTTCTATGGGTTGTAAGTTTGTTATCTACTTATATGTGGATATGTATATGTAAGTATCTCTCTGCAAATATAAACATTTTTGGTTTATCAAAGTAGACTTCAAAACTTTTCTGATTCAAAGCAGTGTGCAATTGAGATCCGTTGCTGCCAGAGATGTAAATTAAGATAGAACGGGGAGTTAAAGGACCCCTGTAAGCACCAAGACTACTTAATCACAATGCAGTGTTCTGGGTGCAGTTACCCTGCTGTTTTGATCCCGCAATGTACAACACTGCTTTTTTGGAGATACTGCAACGTTTTCATTGTAAGGCTAAACACACCTCCAGTGACTGTCACCCTGACCAATCACTAGATGATGCTTCCTCAACCAGAACCGTGTCTGACTTGTTTCTTGGCTTTTATCCTCTGATGCTTATCATAGAGAAGCAATGAATTTAATTTGATTGTTGTATTGCAGCGATTGCAAATGTGCAAGAAATCAACAATGCATCTCTGTGAGAAGCATTTGATTGGACAAAATGGCCATCAAGCCTGGTGACCTTAAGTACTTAAAAAAAAAATCCAAAAAGTGGGGGCCCTGATATCTAAATAGCCCAACTGTCACTAGGGGCTAAAAGTAAGTTACAGTTTTCCCTTAAGTGCTCACAATCACAATGATATGTTTGCTACTTTGCTTTGCCAATTGCGCTGAGTGGCAACTATATAATTCTTTTTGGATGTGTAAAACATTAG